GTACTGGGGAGAACTGCTCATGTTTCTAGGTGATATGGAGTTATGGGGAGCTGGTCGTGCAGTAGAAAGACCTGGATTTTTATTTATTTATTTTATTTATTTATTTTTTTTGAGATGGAGTCTCACTCTGTCGCCCAGGCTGGAGTGCAGTGATACCATCTCGGGTCACTGCAACCTCTGCCTCCCGGTTCAAGTGATTCTCCTGCCTCTGCCTCCTGAGTAGCTGGGAATATAGGCGTGCACCACCATGCCTGGCTAATTTTTGCATTTTTAGTATAGATGTGGTTTCGCCATGTTGGCCAGGCTGGTCTCAAACTCCTGGCCTCACATGAGCTGCCCACCTCAGCCTCCCAAAGTACTGGGATTATAGGCATGAGCCACTGCCTGGATTTTTAATCCTGTGTCAGCTATGTCACCCTGGGTAAGCTTTGGACACTCAGTTTCCTCATCTGTAAAATGGGATTTCTAATCTCAGCCCTCCTAGACTGTCCCAAAGGAGTGGTAAGAGGCTCCAATGGGATAAAATACTTGGAAGGTGTCTGGTGTGTCAGAAGCAAGGCCGCAGATGACAGGGTTGGCAGAGGGAGGTGCTGAGGTCCAGGCTGACAGAGGAACTTGAAAAGAAGAGAGTGAAATGGACAGAGAGAGAGACAAGGCCAAACAATCAGACACAGAGAGGTGAAAGAATCATAGAGACAGAGAGAGAGGGAGAGACAAAGAGCAAACCCACAGAAACAAAGAGAGAGAGAGAGATGGGGGTGGTGTGAGGAAGAGACTGTGTTCCAGGAGAAAGAAGTCAGAGGCAAGGTCAAGCTGCTTAAGGCTCTGACTGCCTGGAGTCCTGTGGATGCCTTTCTGGCCAGTGAAGAGGTTGGCAGGGCAGGGCCCACCGTGGGGCCTGTGCCACCTCTTGCCTGGACCCTCTCCCTCCTTCCAGGCCAAGAAGTGCCTGGGCTTCTCTCTGGCCTGGGGATTCCTTTCTCTTCTCCCTTTGCTTTCCTTACAGCACAAGGAGGCCAGAGCTGGAAGCCAGGGCCCTTCCTCCTCCATCCCCCAGCACCTGGGATGGGCGTGTGCTTGTTGCTGTCGCCGTGCTCTCGTGCTCTCGTCTCCCACTCCTGGAGCAGCCACAACAGGTCCCAGGGGCCTGGAGACAACAAATGGCTCCCTGCTGATGGGCTGCTCGCCGCCTCCTGCCTGCCAGCCAGTCCCGCTGCACACCGGCAGATAATCAAGTAGGGCAGGGGAACCTCTCCTGCCCACGGTGGTGTGATTTAAAGCTGAACTTTGCTTTGCTTTATTTCATCCCCTAGAGAAACAGGATTTAGATTGTAAATCTCTTCCTTCCTGAGAACATGCATATACACATAGGTGCACACACACTTGCATACACACATAAGGGTGTTCACCCACTGCAAACTTAAATACTTACAAACATGTCCACCCATTTCCACACCACACATGTACGCAATCACGCACGATGCATCTGCATGTGCAAACAGCTCACGGCCACAGGTAAGGGCAGGAGGAAAATTTATCAGTGGCTAGAATGGCTGTGATGTATGGAGTGGGTGGAAGATGGTGAAGTGGACAAGGGATGCTGAAATTGCAAGAAACTCTCTAGACCTCACCCTGCCTTGTTACATGGGGGAGGAATGAGGTTCGTGCTGTTGCATGAACGTGTGTGCTTCTGTGTGTGTCCTTGTGTGCAAGCGTGTGTGTGTATCTGTGAGTGTTTTGCAAGTGTGAGTGTCTTTGTTGAGTGCTGAGGTTGATAGTCTGTGGACAGTGCTGCATCGTGCTGGCTTTGGGACTGGACTCAGGACGGGACTGGTGTCCACAGTGCTACCACCATGCCCAGACTCAGGACCAGACTGGTGTCCACAGCACCACTGTCATGCTGTGGGCCTCGGGCAAGCTGTCGCTTTTCTCCGGGCTCCAGCTTCTGCTGGTTCCCCAGGCTTCTGCCAGTTCTGACTGTCTAGTTTCTCTGTGTGACCTTGAGGGTGTGTTTCTCCAAGGTTTGAATGAGCCGGGCTTGGGGTGGTGCGTGTGTGTTTGGCGAGCATTTGCGTGTTGACGCTGGGTATGTTTGTGTGCATGTTCATGTGTCGATGTGTTGTAGGTATGTTTGTGCATGTGTTTTTTTCTGCATGTGGGCGTATTTGTGTGTTCAGGTGAGTGTACTTAGAGCAGCGAGGATGCCATGCACCTGTGTTTCTATTGTGAGTCCATGTAGAGTCCGGGGTGAGCGTGTGTGACAGTGAGCTTGGGAGGTGACCTGCGGGTGTGTGTTTGCCTAGTGGGAGGGTTTATGAGGGTGGATACGGGAGGCTCCCCGTTCTTACTTCTCTGCTTTCATCTTCTCCATAACATTGATCACCATTGGACACACTGTGTATTAATAGTTACTTCTTTGTTTATGGTTTCTCTCCTGAAAGCTAGAATGTAAACCCCATGAAGGCAGGAGTTTTACCTGTTTTGTTCATGGCTGTATTCCCATGATTAGAACAGTCCCTGGCACATGGTGGTGTAGCAGATGTCCAAGGACATTCATTGAATGAATGAATGAATAACTTAATCATCTCCTTCAAGAGTTCCCTTAAGTGTCACTCTCTGAATCAGTGTTGATCACTCCACTTAAAATTTCTGCCCGCCCTGGCAGATCACGAGGTTAGGAGATTGAGACCATCCTGGCTAACATGGTGATACCCCGTTTCTACTAAAAATACAAAAAGAAAATTAGCCAGGCGTGGGGCCGGCGTGCCTGTTAGTCCCAGGCTACTCGGGGTGGCTGAGCAGGAGAATGCGGTGAACCGGGGAGGCGGAGGTTGCGTGAGCATGAGATCGTGCACTGCACTCCAGCCGCGCGACAGAGTGGACGCTCCTTTCTAAAAAAAAAAAGCAAGAAAAAAAAATTCTGCCCGCCCCTGCCCCACAGCTCCCGTTCTATGTTGGTTCTCATTTTCTTTTTTAAATTACCTTTCAGTATACCAAGATACAATTGTCCATCTTATTTTTATTTTATTTTCTGGAGTGGGAGTCGGGCACTGGTGTCACCTCTAGAACCTGGAGTGGTAGTGGTGCGATCTCAGCTCACTACAACCCGCCTCCTGGGTTTCAGCATTCTCCTGCCTCCGCCTCCCGAGTAGCTGGGTTACAGACCAATCACCACCAAGCCCAGCTAATTTTTCATTTTTATAGGAGATGGGGTTTACCAAGTTTGGCCAGGGCTGGTCTTGGACTCCGTCTGACCCTCTTTGATCCACCCCTTAGCCTCCAAAGTGCTGATACAGGCGGTGAACGCCAGCCGCCTAGTTTGTTTATTTGTTATGTACTCATCCTAAGTTTTTAAGTGTTAGGTATCACCCTGTTAGAATAAAAGCCCAAGCAAGAGCTGGAACTTGTTTTCAGTTGTCCACTGATGTCGTTCCGGCGTATCTGCGAAACACGCGCCTGGTTAACTGCGAGGTGCGTAAGTGATATTTACTGGTGGGATGGATGGGATCTGTGGTGTCATGGAGGCATGGAGTGGCTTTTGAAGTGGTTTTGTGTGAATGGTTTATAAAGGTGTTGTGGTGTGGTGGATAGTGAGGGGTCAGGACTGCATGATTTATTTCTTTTTTTTTTTTTTGAGATGGGACTCCGTCTGTCCACCCAGGCTGGCAGTGGCCAAGTAGCACATCCTGCTCACTGATGCCGCCTCCTGGGGCTTCAAGTCACTTCTCCCACCCAGTCTCCTAGTAGTTTGGATTATAGGGGTGTGATCACCCACAACCTGGCTACCATTATTTTGTATTTTGGTAGAGATGGGGTTTCCTGCCACACTGCCCAGTCCTGGTCCTGAGCTCCTAATCGGCTTAGTGATACACCCACCTTGGCATTCCAAAGTGCGGGATTTACACGGCGCGAAACCCACCATGCCGCCCCGTCAGGACTCGCATCTTATGATGCGTGGGTGATGTGTTTATGATGTGGGGTAACTATGTCCTTGAGGCCAGGGGCAGTCTTCTGAATAGAGCATTGTCAGGTTTGGGGTATCCCTGCTTTGGGGTCCTTGCCTCAAAGGCTTTCGCCAGCAGACCATAGCATGGCTCTCCCTAAGGAATCTCTGGATTCTTTTCCTTGATGGGCCCTGCAAACCTGGTGCTTGCACAACCTGAGCCCCGTCATGGCAGCCCCCTGGGTCCACCCTTCCTTTTCCACGGGCCACGTCTGGGGCCTCATGCTTAGAGAACGTCCTCCCACCTGCCTGCAAGCCGAGCTCTGGGCTGGGAGGCATCAGGAGAAGGCAAAGGCTATAGTCCCAGTGTTGGAGGAACAGCCCACTGGGCAGCAGCTAGGCCCTCAGCCACCTTGGACAGTCCTGGGAAGAGGGGTCTTGGGGTGCCAACTTGGCAGGGGGTAATCCTGGCCACAGGGATTCGGAGGCAGTGGTCAGTTTTCAGAGGCATCAGGGTTTGGTGGCAGGTGGGCAGCCCTGCTGGAGGGTCTGGAAAAGAGGGTCCAAGCTGGCCCTATGCTTAGGCTGTGGGGGCCATCAGGGCCGCCAGGCATCAAGAGTTTTAGGGTGTGATGTGGGCTTCGGGGGCCAACATGAAAAGCACTGTTCCAGTCTTCAGGGAGTGGTGGGGGTCTGGCCCCAGTCCAGTCCTCGTTAATGGAAGGTGCTGGCCACGAGCGGCTGGAGGTGGGGGTAGGGGAGGCCACCTGTGGACGCAGTGTCGGACCCCAGAAGCACTCAACAAAGTGAACTCTTGGGGCCAGGCGCTGAAAGACACATGCGCAAGGCAGAGGGCGACACTGCCCCCCTTAGGCCCCGCTTTATGAATATCTCCTAATACAATGAGTGTGGTGGTCGGTCAGACGCTGCACTCAGCTTTCAACTGTCAGCTGTGGGTCTGCCTTGCGGAGGGTCAATGTAACCTCTCTGCACCTCAGTTCCCTCCCTAGGCACAATGCAATACTTTCAAAAAAATCTCATGGTGAGATTGGAAGGATCAAGTTGTCATTACTACTGTTATTCTTGTTATTTAAAAAGCTGTACAGGTCCAGGAAGGAAGGACTGTCTTGACAGGAATTCAGACAAAAAAGATCCAGGGTTGTGGCCAATCTCAAATTAGTATGAGGGTCTAATATGGATGGTGAGATCTGTGACATATAAAAGAAGGCAGTGATCCCTGGAGCCAACGTGGGTTCACCAAGACCGGGCACAGCTCTTAGGTTCTTGACAGCTTAATGACTCATGGGTAAAGAAAACGAGCCAGCATGGGTGGAGAGGAATCTGTGATTTATTGAGCACCAATTGTGTGCTGGACACTTCATGCATATGGTTTTATTTAATCCTCATGAGCTGTGGATTAAACAAGACGTGACAATCTCCATTTTACTGATGAGAAACTGAGTCTCCGGGAAGTGACTTGCCCAAGGTGGTTGGAGCTAGGATTCAAATCTGGATCTGTCTAACCCTTTCTGCCATATCATACTGTCTCCTAAGACGCTGGGTAGAGTCCCTCGTGGCTCTTGAGGACATGAAGGATGTCTGAGAGGGCACAAAGGGGGCTCCCATTGGGCCAAACAATAGCCATGAAATGTTCACGTAAGTGTAACCAGGTCAGTCTACAAAAGGCCTCTAGACACTGCCATGGGACTGTCCACCCTGCTTTGATCAGTCTATGCCAAGGACCTATAAGAAGACACGGAGGGTGCAGACCTATAAAAGTTGGAGGTGGTAGAAAGCTCCAAGGGACAGAGAAAATCTCAGCAGAATCAGGATTTAGAAAGATCTTGACAGGCTGGCGTGGCAAGGTGAATTTAGCATGAAGAAATATCACAGGGAAAAATGCTGAGGCCCATCTTGACTACAGGAAAAATTGTAGAAGGATGGGCAGCTCAAGAGAAGGATTTAGAAGCTCAAGTGTCAGTAAGTTCAGTATGAGTTGGTAGGCTACATTGATAGAAATATGTTGTTTGGGACAAGGGAGGGGGGCCTTTCTCTAGCCTCAGTTCACACTCTGCCCTGGGGCAGTTTCTACTGTACATATTTGAAGGTCATGTGCTATTTTCTGTTTTTCCAGTTCTTTCCCTTTCTTTTCAAGTTCTTAGGGGAGGCAGAGTCCTTCCGGAGTTTGACCCTTGGATTCCATCCAGAGCAGCCTCCAAAATGACACCTTTGAAGGTGGGAAAGACACTGCAGATTCTCTGGGTTTTTGTTTGAAGTCTGTCTTGGATTTGTTATTTATGCCCAATTACCCTCAGTCCAGGGAGCAGAAAGTGCTGGTCTCTGAATGTTCTGGAACAGGGAGAGCTCCTGGTTCCCTAGTTCCCATTGGCCAGGTGTATCCACTCCTTTTCCAGCTGTCTCCTTCCCTTCTTGAGCGCCCTTTTCCTGGTGGTCAGTGGCTCGCCAGGGCCTGGCCAGGCTGGTTCTCCTATGCTGGAGGCGGGGCAAGAGGAGGGAGCCTTGCAGCTGCTCACATTGGGGCTGGATCTCTGCTTGAGCTGGGATGTCACCTGCCAAGCTGAATTCGGCACAGGAAGCTCCTGGCTGGAAGACGTGCTGTTTAATTTGAAGATTCTGTTCCACTCTGAAATGTGCTTCTCCTGGCAGCTGCAATGAAGTGAAGCTGTTGAGCTTCCCTCTCTTATGCCAGAATCACAGCCACTTTTTCCTGAGAAAGAAACAGAGCTACAGACAGTTTTACTCATTAAATACTTTTTTTCCTCTTAAATCTGTTTTTGTAATTTTTTTTTTTCTTGCGTGAACGGAAAAGTAAAACGGGTGATATTGAAATAAACAAGGCGTTTGTGATGGGAAGGTTAAAGCAGATTGTTGGGGGTGGGGAAGGGGGTTGGAAACACCCCACGTTTCTGCATGCAGGCTGCTCATAGCCTGTTGAGGATGAGAGTGAGAGAAAGTATTCATGAGGCTGCCCCTCTTCCAGCCCAGAGGAGTCAATTTCTCCAAGTGTCCTGGGCTTCAGTGAGAAAGGCAGTGGAGAAGGGTGCTCTCATTTATTAAGGGCCCACCAAATGCTACGCCTGTAATATGGGTGAGCTCTTTCAGTCCTCATAGCAACCCTGGGTGGTAGGACCTATTTTACAGATAAGGAAGGTTGAGGCTCAGATGACTGAAGGTCAACCCTGCAGGGCATACAGAGCTGGGATTTGAACCTCCATCTGTCTGACCTCTGACACAGTGCTGTTTTTGGCTATACTTTGCTACCCTGAGCAGTTGTGTATCGAGCTGGGAGATGTAAAGGGAGGAGAAGAAAGAAGATGAAGAGACACCAGCCAGCCTTGAGTGGACATCCTGCCTGGTGAAACTGAACAAGACACTGACCGCATGTGAGTGAAACAAGCCCTAGTTGCTGGGCTCCGACAAACATGGGTGGTTTGGGGAAGGGTGTGTAAGAGTGGGTGTGGAGGGTTTTGGCCTGATAATGAAGGTAGGCTTCTTGGAGATAGAGGACCCTGAAAGTTGAGTGGAGTTGAGGGAACAGCCTGGCAACATCTTCGGCAAAGGCAGGCAAGGTGTGAGTATGGCTCTGGTGAGAGCAGGTAAGTTTGAGTGAAGTAGTGATGGTTGTGGTGAGAATATCCATGTTGGCAGAGGGGGATCAGGTTGGAAGATGTAGTGCAAAAAAGAGCCCTGAGCTGGGAAGCAGGTGCCCACTTCTTGCCATGGCTCTACCATTGACTTGCTGTGTGAACTTGGGCTAGTCCTCTTCCCTCTCTGGGCATCCAATTTTCTGTCTGTAAAATGGTAGAATTGGACTACAGGATCCCTAAAGACCTTTGCAGGGTCCTAAGGAGAAAGAAGATGACTATAGTATCCAGAGGGCCTTGAATATCAAGACTTGGCATTAGAATCATGAAATGTTAGGACTAAAAGGATCTCCAGGAATCATCCACTTAAACTATCTTCCTTTACATCCTAAAGGATGAGTGGGAGTTATCAGGCAAAGGAAAGCAAAAGATGGAAGACGGAAAAGAGGGCATTCCAGGCAGGAGGCATAGCATGAACAAAGGCATGGGTGGAGGCACGGTGCAGTGAACATTAAGCAGGCTGATGTTGAAGATTAAAGACCAATGTGACCGGGTGCAGTGGCTCACTTCTGTAATCCCAGCACTTTGGGAGGCTGAGGTGGGTGGATCACCTGAGGTCAGGAGTTCGAGATCAGCCTGGCCAACACGTATTCTGTAAAAATACAAAATGTAGCCGGGTGTAGCGGCGCACACCTATAATCCCAGCTACTTGGGAGGCTGAGGCAGAAGAATCACTTGAACCTGGGAGGCAGAGGTTGCAGTGAGCCAAGATGGCACCACTGCACTCCAGCCTGGGTGACAGAGTGAGACCCTGTCTCAAAAACAAAAACAAAAACAACCCACAAAAGACCAATGTGGGGTGTGGGAGGAGGCAAGTCATCAGTTAGGAGAGGGAGATGGGATCAGACCTTGGGAGGACCAAGGGGATTTGATTCCATCCTTTGGGTAATGGGGACTCATTGAAGCTGTGGGAGTGACATGCTCAGAGGTACAATTTTGAAAGATCACTTTGGCAGCTTTGTTGATCTTGGATTTGACAGGGGCTGGGAACAGATACAGGCCAAGGATACGTGCTGACAAGACAGGTCAGGAAGCTGTGTGTCAGTTCAGCAGGAGATGGTGGTGGTCCGTCAGGGTGGCAGAGTGGGGATGCTGAGGATAGCACCTGTTCACAAGGTATTTGGGAAGTGGAATAGATAGGACTTGTTGATTGACTGGATATGGGGAGTGGGGAAGGTGAAGAGACAAGGACTCTCAGGTTCTGGCTCGGTGATATTCACTGAGACAGGACACAGAGGAGGAGAGAGGAATTTTTTGGGAACAAAGATGAGCTGAGTTTTAGATTTGGTGAGTCTGAGGTATCAATGGAACAGTGTATAATGTCTCATTCATTCATTAATTATTTACTGAGCACTTACTATGTGCCAGCCATGCCTGGATACTGCTTTTCTGTAGGTGTCAGCCTAGAGGGGCATTCAGAAAGCTCTTCTGTACATTGAATATTGAGCTGCTGAGCTTTTACCCATTGGCCTTCTTCTACCCTTCAGGACTTCACTGGCGTCTACTCTCCTTCAGAGATTAGAGATCAGTGATTGTAGTTCCCTGCATCATCTATGTTTCTGGGAACATGGAGCTATGGAGGGAATGTGGACTTCAGAAAATTATAAAGGCCTGGATTTCAGCCCAAGTACCTTTTGTATGATCTCATTTGTTAGGTGGGTTTACCGACACCTTTTGTTTTTGTTTTTGTTTTTTTGAGATGGAGTTTTGCTTTGTCCCCAGGCTGGAGTGTAGTGGTGCCATCTTGGCTCACTGCAACCTCCACCTCTGGGTTCAAGTGATTCTCCTGCCTCAGCCTCTAGAGTAGCTGGGATTACAGGCATGTGCCACCACACCCAGCTTTTTTTTTTTTTTTTTGTATTTTTAATAGAGACAGGATTTCATCATGTTGGCCAGGCTGGTGTCAAACTCCTGGCCTCAAGTGATCTGCCCACCTCAGCCTCCCAAAGTGCTAGGATTACAGGCATGAGCCACCACACCCGGCCTAACAACACCTCTTTTACAGACAGTAGAGTGCTGGAGGGGGTTCCTACTGGCTAACAGAACCAAACGAGGCCATCTTTTCCCAATTCTGCATGCATTGACATCCCATTGGTAGTTTGAAATTGACCATCGTGGGCGTATTTACACCATAGAAATTGGCAAATGCTACAAATCAGGACTCCTTTTTTCTTTCAGAAAGCTGGTTGGTTAATATTTACCAGCTAAGAGTAAATATTTATTGCATATAGAGTTATGGTTTGGATGATGGACATAGAGCACCTGGCACATGGTACCCAGATATACACACATAAATAAGTGTGACTACCTTTTCCTTTGATGTTTCCTCTCTGTGGGAAAACTGTTGCTTCATCTGCTCACAATAACAACTTCCCTTCCACAAGGGCCTGCTCCTCTCTTTTCTCAAACAACATGGTCCCAAGTGAAGCTGCCATTTTCTTACTCCTCTTGGCCACCATAATGGGGTAGAGTCAAAAGGAGGGGGATTTTGGAGTCTCATGAGACTAAATTTGAAACTTGGCTTTGCCTCCTACTAGCTGCATAATGACCCTGGGCGAGAAATTTAATCACTCTGAACCTCAATTAAGTCACCTGTAAACTGGGGATGGGCATGCCTCCCTCATTAAGTTGTTGTAAAGATAAAATGAGGTAATGGGTACACGAGGGCCTGGCATTGAGGCAGCAGTTTCAGTGAGAGCTTGACCCATGCTGGCTTCCTTCCCCTGAAAAGTCCAGTGTGGACTTGGGAAACAGCTCTGACGATGGGGTTGGGGGTGGGAGAGGGAGGAACTGGGGCTGCAGCCTTGGGAAGGATGGTTCCTGGTGGAACATGTAGGTCGAGAGAGGCTGTGGGCCATAGGACCTTCCAAATGTATTCCGAGTGCGGTGGAGGGGAACTCCCCTGGCCACAGTTCATGCTTCTGGGGCCCCCACCTGCAGATCTGCAGATCGACTCCTATCATCAGCTCGGCTCGTGCGTTTCTGGGGCGGCTGCGGCGGCCTGGGCTGCCCTGATTTACCACCCCAGCCCCAAGCAGATTAAATCACCCAGAGTCATTTGAATTTTACCTGGCCTTGTCACACAAATCTTAGAAACTGCTGTCTGGCAAGAAAACTTTCCCTGTACTTTTTGGAGGAAGACTAAGAGCTCTAGAAATTGAGGTGAAGTGGAAAAAGGAGGTGGTTCCAGGGGGGTTTCTGCGTCTTCAGGTCAGACCAATGTTGCAGGTTAGAGGAGGGATTGTGGTGCGTGTGTGTGTGTGTGTGTGTGTGTGTGTGTGTGTGTGTGTGTATATGTGTATGAAATTGCTGCAGAGGCCTCTGGGACAATGTTGTTTCTGGCTGTGTGACATAGGGCAAGTCACTTAACCCCTCTGAGTCTCACAGGACTGTGGTGAAGGTCAAAAGGGCTAGCTTGTGGAAAGTGCTTTGTAGGCTTCAATCAGTTCTGTGATAACTAATTGGAAAGATGAGACAAATGACTACATAAATAAATTATATATGGCAGTGGTTACCGTGTGTCAAGCAGAGTAAGAGCTCTAGGAGCCAAACAGAGGGGCATATTGCCAGAGGTCTGGGGCTTGACTTGGGCCTTAAAAGAAGCCTAAGTCTCAGGGAAGAGAAGTGGAAGAGGTTGTAGTACAAGTGAGGTTGTCGACACCACGTCTGTCTCCATCACTGTGTGTGTCTCTGAGGTGGGTCCTGATTGGTTTAGCCAATTCAGACAATGCCCCCTTCTCTGACCTTGGCACATTGGCTGGTTCCAAACCAATCATACATACATTCTCCTGGTCACTGGGATTGATTCAGATTGGCCCCATCAGACAGAAACTCAGGGTTTTGGTGAGATGACTGGGGAAACACATCTAATCTCTTTGTATCTGGATTTGAATGAGGAAACATGTGGGCCTAGTTTCTGACAGGCATCTGGTGACTAGGAACACTAACCTGAGAATGTAGCCAACATATGGAGGTGGGAAGAACCTGGAAAATCACAGAAAAATGGAGTCCCAGCCCCAGTCAAACTGTGCCTGATGTCTGTTGCATCTGGAATATTGCATGAAGTAATCCATCTGCTTTATTAAGCCAGTTTGGATTTCATTTTTGTGTTACTTGCAACATAAAAACTGATACAGGAGGTGATGGAGGGATCTGAGTCGGGAGCCGAGAGCCTACTTGGTGTTAGGCAGCCAATGAGGAGACCCTGTAGGCGGGAGTAAAGGGTGGGTCGGGGTGCGTTGTGGGGTGAGGGTGGCTGAGGCCTATAGGAAATGAGACTAGAAGGAAGTTTGGGGTTGAATAATGGAAGGACTCAAATGCAAGATTAAGAATCTGGGCTTGATTTTGTAGGCAATGGGGTGTAGCTTCAGATTTGTGAGCAGAAGAAAGGAAAGGATAAGTGATGTGAACACAGTGATATTTTGGGAAGATCAACGTAAGAGTGGGATATATATATGTGTGTGTGTGTGTGTGTAGGATTGGAAAGAGAAATTGGGGGCTGAGACTTTAAAAATTATCATTTATGGATGCTACACATAGTTCATGTATTATCTCACTTAATCCTTAAAAGGGCCTCTCCCACCCCTCTTTTTTTTTTTTTTTTTTTAAAGCTGAGTTTCCAAAATCTTGGGTAACTTGACTAGATCATATAATTAGTAAATGGTGGAGGCAGGACTTGAACACGGGTCATCTGACTTCAAACCCTGTATCCTTATTCACCACATTTATGGTAACACAGTTGACAAATTAGGATGGGCTAGATAAGATAGTGGCTACGGAGATGGAGAGCATGAAACAAGAGATATTAGGTTGGTGAAGTTCTAGATGTTTTGTCATTAAAGTCAGAAACCAGATAAGGATAACCATTGTTATCAACATTTAAAAAACACTTTTCCAAAAGGGCTAGGCATTGCAATTAGATAAGAAGATGAAACAGAAAGTATAAATGTTGGGAGACAGGAGCAAATAATCATAGTTTGCAGATAAGATGATTATTTATCTGGAAAACTCAAGACAATATTCTGCAAAACAATCAGAAAAAAATAGAGTTTAGTAAAATGGCCAGTAACCAAAAAATTGACACAAACTAAGCTTTTCTATTTATAAAATGACTATCTAGGAGGTAAAATAAAAGCTCCATCCATACTGTAAAACACAAACACAAAATACCCAGAAATAAACTTTACAAAAAAATGTGAATTACATGAAGAAAACTCCTCTGAGTTTTTTTTTTTTTTTTTGAGACGGAGTCTCACTCTATCGCCCAGGCTGGAGTGCTGTGGCCGGATCTCAGCTCACTGCAAGCTCCGCCTCCCAGGTTTACGCCATTCTCCTGCCTCAGCCTCCGAGTAGCTGGGACTACAGGTGCCCGCCACCTTGCCCGGCTAGTTTTTTGTATTTTTTAGTAGAGACGGGGTTTCACCGGGTTAGCCAGGATGGTCTCGATCTCCTGACATTGTGATCCGCCCGTCTCAGCCTCCCAAAGTGCTGGGATTACAGGCTTGAGCCACCGCGCCCGGCCTCTTCTGAGTTTTAATAAATATGGTATATACCTAGCTCTTGAGTAGAAAGATTTAATACTTTAAGGTTGTCAATTCTCCAAAACAAATGTATGAAATTAAGATAATCCAGTCAAGATCCCAACAGGATTAGAATTTGTTTTGACAAAAAAATTATGAAGCTAATCTGGAAGAATACCAAATGAGAATAAGGAAAATTCCAAAAAAGAAAAATGATGAATATTTACTCTATCAGATATTAAAATGTTTTATAAAGGCATAATATAATTAAAATTCTTATGTAGGAATAGACAGACAGATCACTGGGACAGAATAGAGTCTAGAAATGGGCCCAGATATTTAAGGGAATTTTTGTTTGTTTTTGGAACAGAGTATCACTTTGTTGCCTAGGCTGAAGTCAGTAGTGTGATCTTGGCTCACTGCAGCCTCGACTTTTCAGGCTCAAGTGATCCTCCCACCTCAGCCTCCTGATTAGCTGGGACTACAGGCACACGCTACCACACCCAGCTGATGTTTTGGATTTTTTTGTAGAGATGGGGTTTTACCATGTTGCCCAGGTTGGTCTTGAACTCCTGGGCTTAAGTGATCTGCCACCTTGGCCTCCCAATGTGCTGGGATTATAGGCATGAGCTATTGCACCCAACCTTTTGGTATTTTTATATGATAAAACAGCATTTTAATTGAGCTGGGAAAATATGGGCTATTTTATAAATGGTGTTGGGATAATGGGCTAGCCATAGCAACACTCCTTATTGGGGTAAGAACTCTCTGACTTGATCTAATAAGCTCAAGCAATGAAGACCACGTGGCATAAATATGAGTGCATATTTTGATCATCTTAAGATGGGGAAGGTTCTTCTAAGTATGACATGATATTTGAAATCATAAAAGAAAAGACTGATAAATTTGACTATATGAAAATTAAACATTTAAGTACCTTAAAGAACATTGCAAGAAAATTTTAGAAGAGTGGTGTGTGTGTGTATATATGACAAAAGTTTAATCTTATTTCTATTGTACAAAGAGCTCTTACAAATCACTAAGAAAAATATAAATATCTCATTAGAAAAATGGGCAAAGGACATGAACAGGCAATTCACAAAGAAAATAACCACAAATGCCTGAAAAAACAAAAAGACATTTATTTTCCCCTCCCTATAATCTTAGCAATGCCAATAGAAACAAGCATCATTTGCCTTCTGTTGATCTGGCCAAACATTAACGCTGACAAAACCCAGGCTTGATGAGGGTCTGGACTTATATGTGGGCACGGTTGATGAGAATTTTGTTGTTGTAAGCTTTCTGAAGGACAGAGTGGCAAAATTAGAAATAGCATACCCTTAATTGCAGCCATCTCATTTATTGGATTTTATTCTAAGGCAGTTGTTGCAAAAATGAGCAAAGAGAATATGCACAAGGATATTTATCACAACATTGTTTATGAGAACAAAATTCTCACAACATCCTAAATGATCATCGGTAGAGACCCAGTTAAATAAAGTATGATACATACATATAATGGAATACTATGAAGTAATTAAAATAATTTTGTAGAGCTCTATTTATTGACATAGAAAGATGTCTAGGACATATTGTTGAGAGAGAAAAGCAGGTGTCAGCGAGAACAGTATGTATAATACAATTCCTCGTCTATAAAATTATATACATAGATCTCTATGTGTATATATGCATAGAGATATGTCTGGAAGGCTGTTCACCAAAATTCTTGGAGTGGTTATATCTGGGAGGTAGGATTTTTACTTTCTTTTTTGTACTTTTAAGTATTGGTTAGATTTGTTTTTTTATAATGAAGATATATCATGTTTTTAAATCAGAACAAATAATAATTCTATTTGTAGCATTTTGGAAATAAGGTAGATACCAAATAGGAGGAATCAGCACGTGGTCATTAAACAGATGTGGATAAGGAGTCAAGACATAAGCCAAAAATTTGCCCCTTGGTGCCCAGAAGGCTCATGCATTATGGCAAACCCAAAGCAGGAGTTGATGCCGGAGGAAGAAGGAAGCCCTGGGTTTTCAGGGCTTTGTTCAGTGTCAGTGGCTGGTGGGCAGTACGGCTGCCTCTTAGAACGGGAGGGCCAGGGTGGGCTTTTCCCCAAGGACAGAGCTAGGGATGAAATCTCAGAGGGAGAGAGTGCATTGGCAGGAGCAGGAGAGAGCTGGAAACTGAGCCTGGAACACAGCCATGGTGACAAGATGGGTGAAGAAATAGGATGCGTGGTCAGGAAGGCGGGGAGCTACAGGAGCATGGAGTGTCTCAGGATTCCATGGGTGTGGGGGCGAATTTCTAGGGAAAGGTCAACCATATCTAATGATGCAAAGGCATGGAGGCTGGGGAAAGGGCACAAGACGTGACAAATAGGAGCTTGTTGATGACCTTGGACAGAGCAGTTTCAGTGGAGGAATGAGGCTGTGCATTGTCGTGTGTGGGAGTTAGGGAGTTTGTTGTGGGGGAAAGGCGGATTTTAGCTTGGGGGAGCTGATTTAAGGGAAAGGGACTGAGCCTTGATTAGAGATGTCAATAACTGGCTCGTGTGCCTCCCTGCTCACTCCCCAGCCCTGGCAGGCATCACTAGTCATTCTGCTGAGCCCAGGTGAAGCCATAAAATCTTCCTCCCAATAGCCAGCTCAGGGAGCCACTACCATGTTCTTGGAGTTGGCTGCTGAGACGAACCTATTTTCCATGCCTGGGCTTGAACACATACTTGCAGGATGATGAGAAGAAACACATGGAAGGGGCAATGGAAGGAGCAGGAAAGCCGAGGCCTGTTGGAGCCAGCACATCCCATCCATGCAGGCATGGATGGTGAGCTCAGTCTGGGGAGGCTTCCGGGCCAGAGCCTGGATGAGTGGAGCACTCTGCCAGTGAGTCTGAGTTGACCAAGCACGAGAACAAGAGAACAAGTTTGTCCTTTTTGTGATGCTGTAAAAAGCATGGCTCATGGTTCACAGTTGGCTGTGTGTGAACTACCAGTTGGTGTGCAGATATTTGAGGACTCACCACGGCCCACCGTCTGGCTGTCCAGAGAAGGCATCATGGGCACTCTGTTGTCTGGAACACTGAGCATGGAGGGGTCTGCCTGTGGGTGCCCGGGAGCAGAACAAGGAGTTGTGGCTCAGTAGTGGCTTGTTGGGAAGACTTTTAAGGAACATATTCAGTGTGATTCGGCTGCTGGGCCTCCAATGGGGTTTTGATTGCATCAGTGGGAGCATGGGGTTCTGGATAGTGGAGATAAATGCTCTTTTGGACTCTCAGTGGCCAGAGCATCACTGGAGCAGTGGAGAGAGGCAGACACATGGGCAGAGCTCACCCACAGAAAATGGCGAGGATCAAGGGAGGCTGGACGTCATGCCCATCTAGGAGAAATGCTCGAAGGAGCTCAGGCCAAGGAATTAGATGTTTGCTTTTAACCTGCCGAAGCAGTGCTTTCAAAAACATTCTCCTTGGAATCTTAGTTTCTTGAGGTTGTTTCACAGAAAAGGGTTCTATGAGCAGATGTGTTCATGAAATACAGCACCCACAGCTCAGTGCACATGAGTACAGTAAAGGCTCTGAGAAGTCCTGCGGCAAAGAAACTTGTTTAATGTAGAATTTTGTCAAGCTTATTCAACTGCAGAAGCTTTTTCAGTTCCTTATCGATTTACCTCCTGCAGGACTAGTGACTGACCTGGGGCAGAGAGAGCAACGCATCCTGTGTTGTCCCAGACATACGGAATTGTTTGGGCAAACGTAGGAATGTTACCAAGAGGCAAATTTTGGCTCAGTTCAAGGAAGAACTTTGAAAGCAATTGCAGATGTTTAACCCATGAAAGAGGTGGTGAAGGAATTCGAGTTCCCAGAGGCCTCAAGCAGAATGTGGACTTAGCAGGACTCCTGCAGAAGGAAGCCAGGTTCCATGAGTCCTGGGAGAGGGGCTCCTTGGCTGCCCTGCAGTGGTACTCCTCCCTCAGAGCCTGGAGCCTAGCTTGTATTGCTGTGTACGGCACCCAGGCGGACTTGGGATGCTTGAAATGAGCAGTCTGCGAAGGTAAGATGTGAACACACGAATATCCTCATTAAGTCCCAAATACACATCCCAAACTTTACATAACAGGAGCAGCAGCTGGAGACGCCCACAGCCCTAATTGCTTTTCTGTACTAAGAGAACGTCTTCTCTTCAGCTCTGCTTCTCCCATTCATTTAGGTAATTACTGGAGGGAGCCAGCTGCGGGAGGCTGGCGGGCAGGCAGGCGCATTTGTAACACCACCTAATGGGTGCCGCCATGAGGATGGGGTGCCGCGGGAGCTGGAGCCTGTCTGTGCTCTTCATGGGGAGTAGGGTGCTGAGGATGGGAGGCCAGCTGCTCGGCTTCAGTCCTGATCTCAATGGGCCCAAACTGAGCTGCCGGGATGGAATGCCTCTCCTCCCAGGGACTTGACAAGCACGATTCCAAGAAAGGACAGATCCAGAGCCAGGTACAGGCATGGGGAAGGGAATGCATGGAAGAATCGACTCTGCTCAACAAATTGCTCAAGATGCTTTCTCTGAATCTCATGCTGGGCTGGGGCACTGAGGCCGATCAATCAGGAAGAGCCTACTCTCTAAGCTCACAGGCCAGGGGAGGAAGCAGTCACGGACCAGAAAGGGCTGGGATCAGAGGAAGCTGTCGGACTGGGGTGTACAGAGGACACAGAGACTGGCTCTGTCTTGGTGACAGGGGATCTGGGAAGATGTCTTGGAATAAGACATAGTAGGATTGGGCCTTGGAAGTGTGTGTGACCCTGCAGTTGGTGATCCCTTCTGCAAAATGGGGCCAAGGTAAACTTCCAGGCCCCAAAGTGACATCTGGTTTGTCCCCTTCCTTCCTGGTCCCTAGTAACCACCTGGAAATCATGAGGATCCTCTTGCGGTTTCTTTGCAGCTGGAGCCAGCCTGGAACCTGGGTCCTTGGTGGTTGGCCAGGGTGGGTGCCCTGGAAGAGTCAGCTTTGAGCCTGTCTTCGGAGGGGCCCTAGGAGGGCTGTGGCCTAGGCGCTCTGCCCACCAGGCTTCCTGTGGGTGGCAAGTGAAACTTTTCCTCTTGGTTCTCTCCCAGAAGCCAGCTTCATTCCCCCAGCCCCAAGTGGCGGCTCCTTGGGCCGGAAACAATGTGCTTTCTCCACGCCTTAGAGTGGAAGTCAGCAGTTTGGCACCGTCTGGCTGGCAGCCTCCACCGGCTTCCTTTGGCACTTTATTGGCAAAGGCGGTGACATTTCTTTCAGTTGGGTGGGTGGAGCTGTTATGCAAACTCCCGCTCTCCTCATTCGCCAGATGAATATTCATGACTCAGGCAATCTGTAGCAGCCAGACTTTCCTGAGGGCGGCAGCTTTTCTTCTCTTCCTCTCTCTCTTTTTCTTTCTCCTTCTCTCCTTCCCAGCTCTTTGGAAAGCTGAAGTGCAGCTATATTTAATTTACAAATACAGAGCCATTTAGCTTGCCTTTTGAGATGCAGGCACTGGGGAGGAGGTGCTGGGGAATGGGAACAGTGGTTGAGGAGTTTGGTCCTGACCCTGTGCCTCTAAGCTCCAGGGTCCAGCCCCTGGGCCCTAGATCCTGGGAAGCTTCGTGAGTCTGGAGCTTCTTGGAGCTTGGCCTCTTGGGGCCCTCAGGGCTGCAGGTACAGCAGCTCACGCCACCCCATTCCACACTGGCCTCTGAGGTCAACATGGAAATTCTCAGGCAATGATGCTTTCCTGCCCAATTCATGACCCGGGACCCACCGATACATCTGTTAGTGCTTCTCCCCCTCTGCTCTCCCGTTTGTCAAGGCCCACCCAGACCCTGCTCCAAGCTCTAGGTGGAAGCCCAGAAGGCACTGGAGCATTTGCTAGTCATTGGCTTTCCAGGGAGAGAAACAGTCCTTATTTGGGGTCCAGTTCCTTGGGGCCACATTACTCCCTTTCTAGGAAGGACAGGTCCCTAGCTTCCTTTGTCTCTTCCCAAAGAGGCACCCAGAACTCTGGCAGAGGGGTCAGAATTACCAGGATTTGCCAGGAAATGTGGTCTTAGCGAGGATGTGCTTGCGTGAGCACGTCTTGTGTGTGTGTATGTAAATATTTACGCACAGCTTAAGTGAGTCTGTGTGCCTACATCTATGTTCAAGTGTCTGAGTGTGTGTCTGTATGTGTAAGGGCGTGAATGTGTGTGTCGCGGGAAGTCTGGGAATGCTTGCATATGTGCGAATGTGCCTCTCCAGTTAGCGTTGCGTGTGTACCTCTGGGGGGCTGGGGGTATCGTGTGTAAATAAGGGTGTTTCTGGGGGGCCCAGACGTGTGTGTGCGAGTGTGTATGTATGTTAAGTGAATTGTAGGTGTGTGTAAAATGAGAGTCTGGAGGAGAGAGAGAGAATGTGCGGGCATGTGTGTGTGTGTGTGTGTGTGTGTGTTAGGGTGTGTTTTCCTGACCTCCATTTCCTCCCAAACCTTTTCCTCTCCAGGAAGGTGGAGGGGGACGTTTCCCCCTTTGCAAGTGTTACAGATTCTATCCAAGGACGTGAACAGAAGGTTTCCCAGCACAGAGCGTCCTGAAATTACTTTATATTCCCCCCCTCCTTGTTTCATCTAATCAAAATAGCAGCATTAGGCTCACCCATTCTCCCTGCCCACCCCTCAGCCCTGGGGGAGGGAGCGAGGCGGGCCATCTTGCCTGACCCCCTTTGAGAGCACCTTGCAGGCCTGAGCCAAGGAGCTGTCTCCCAAATCTCCTCTTTCCTCGGCGGCCCATGCTTCAGTGGCAAGAGCCAGCTGCCTCCCTGCCTGCCAGCAACTGCCAAGCTCTTCCAGAACCCACATCTAGGCCCGGCCTCATTTACAAATATGCAAATTTGCATCTTTTCTGGTATGCAAATGGAGACATGACAAATAACTAATTAGGGTCAAAAGAAGCACTCTGAACCAATTAGTTGTAGGGTCTGTCCCTTTCTCCTGGGAGAAGACTGGGCCTTCCTGCTCCCTTCCCAGCACTGACTCCCAAATGCCCACATACTCTGGCATCCTGTCTGGCTGGGGCCCTGACTGTGAAGAGCATTGAAACAGAAGTCAGTGCATGGGCCTCCATCTTAACTCTGACCTATCCATGTGACCCTGGACTCACTTGCCTGAGTCTCAGTCTGTTCCTCTGTGAAATGGAGCAATGACAGTGACTATCTTGTCCCTAACCATCCACCCCAGCATAGGGAGACTTGGGAGAACTTGGATGTAAATAGCCTTTGAAAACTGTTCTACAGGCCGGGCGCGGTGGCTCACACCTGTAATCCTAGCACTCTGGGAGGCTGAGGCAGGTGGATCACTGGAGGTCAGGAGTTCGAGACCAGCCTGGCCAACATGGTGTAACCCTGTCTCTACTAAAAATACAAAAATTAGCTGAGCGTGGTGGTGGGCACGTATAATCCTAGCTACTCAGGAGGCTGAGGCAGGAGAATCATTTGAACTGGGGGGTGGAGGCGGCAGTGAGCCGAGATCACACCACTTCATTCCAACTTGGGCAAAAGAGCAAAACTCCGTCTTGGAAAAAAAAGAAAAGAAAACTGTACTACAATTTGTCTGATAGGCACATCACTTGTAATCTTACAAAGTACTTTCTGCCCTTGATCTCATTTAATCATCCCATCAACCCTCTGAATTAGATGAATTCAGTGTAGGGACAGGATGGCAGTAGGTTTCATTCCACATGCCAACTCTGGCCAATTATGAATGGTGCTCAGAGTGGTGTGTTGAGAAGGATTCAGAGGCCAAGTCTAAACTGACCAAAAAAGAGACTGTGAGCTCTTAGTGACATTTCCCATGGGCAAGTGTTTGGATTCTGGGAGGTCATGTGCTGCATACTTACCTACCATGAAAGATACGGAATTTGGAGCAGGAACCTGGATTCCAGTCCTGTCTGCTCCCTTGATTAAGTTGCTTATCCTTCCTTAGCTCAGCTTCCTAGTATAAAGCAGGGAAAATAAAACCTTTGTCTTAGAGTTATTGTAAAGATGAGGCAAGGGAAACTTAGGCAAAATCTCTTTGTCATCTGGGAGGGGATGTCCATTTAATTGGCATGTCAGTAGGGCAGGTATATTGTCCCATTTCACAGGTGAGGAGCTTGAGGCTTGGAGAGGGTGGATGACCTGGAGAAGAAGCTGGCAGCATCGCCAGGCAGGCCCGCACGGCAGCTGGGGCTGCTTCTCTCTGTGCCACTACAGGATCCTGGCTCCCTCACACCACCCCCGTACTGATGCCCCACGCGGGCTGCAACAAGCCCTGTTGGCCTGGCTCCACTTCTGGGTGTGAAATTTGGCTGAGTTGGCACCTGGTAGAATGGAGCAATTGCTATCCTGGAGCCTGGGGCCTGGGACAGGGCCAATGGGCAGACCAAGTGTTGGTGGGCGGATCTGACCAAGGGTTGGTGGGTGGGCCTGGTGGGCCTGGCCAGAGAACTCGCCAAAACTGGACAGCTGGCAGGAGTGGGGCAGGAGAGGGCCTGGCTTGAGGACAGCTACTCAGGGAAGCTGAGACCCAGGGCCTAAGCTCAAAACAGAGCCCACAGCATGAGTGTCTGCCTGGTTGCTGGCGTGCCTGAGCATGTCGGCTGGTGTCTCCGAGCTTGTCTTTGTGTGCATGTATGTGTCTGAGGGTATGCTGGGTGCGTGTGTTCTTATAAATGTGTGTGCATGTCTATTAGTGCAAGAGCAGGTGCACCCAGAGTAGTTGTGCACATCTGTGTATCAAGGTGTGTCTGTGTCAGTGTGAGCCTACACATCTGTGTATAAGCGAACTTCTTGCATGCATACATCTGTCAGTATCCGTGTGTGTCTGTGCATTTCTGCCTGCATCTGCACATGCCTGCTTGTACACTGTCCACGCAGGTAGGTCCACACTGGTGTGTGTCTGATGACCTCTGTCAGTATCTGCAGACATGAGTCCATGCTTTCTGTTAGCATCTGTGCAAGTGTCATCTACCTCTATGAGCATGTTTGTTCTTTCCAGTGCCTCTTTGTGTCCTGTACCTGTGTGTAAATCTGCCCATGCATGTTGTGAGTGTCTCTGCAACTGTGTCTGTAGGTTGGTGTATTTTGCAGTGTGTACATCTAGCGAGGGTATTGGTATCCACTTCGGGATGCAGGCGTGGCTGTCTCAGGTTGAGCAGGATGGAATCTTCCCTGTGTCTGCAGTGGCTCCAGGTCATCACTTCCGTCTTTGCGCTGTGGCTGAGGTCTCCTGGACTCTCATGTTCCTTTCCTCTGCTTGAAGGAAAGCTTTGCTCGGGGGTTTCCCAGGGTGCTGCCTCTGACAGGACTGGACCCTGGTGTCCCTGAAGGAGGACACACTTTGCCCTTTGGACTTATTTATCCCTCCTCTCACTCTTTCCTCATCTCATCTCCTTTCTAAATTCTTTTCTTCTTTCCATTCCTCATCCTTGTCCCTTTTTTCTCTCCCTCTTTCTTTCCTTCTCTCCTTCCTTCCCTCTTTGCAACTCGCTTGAAGAGACTGGGTCTTGGGCTGCTGTCGAGTGACAAATGACGTTTCAGAAGCCACACTTCAACCTCTGGAGAGGGGTCCCCACTCCCGCCCCCATGCAGATGCAGCTCCAGATCCACCCAGGCTCTGTAAATTAAAGCCATTGCATGCCCCACTGCATTTTAATCATCAGCCCCCAGCAGTAGCTCCGAGTGAGAACCCATGACCTTTTCTCCTTCCCTTTTGAGAAGTCCTCTCCCACCGCTCCTGTACTGCTGGTAAAAGGCAGCCGCACTGCCTGCTGGAAGACCTGCCAGCTTGGGCTTCAGAGTACTTCTGCCTCAGCTCCACGACGATCCCTTCTGTCATCGTGGGACCTTTCCTGGGATTTGATTTAGGGCAACGCTTCCTCCTGTATGCGTTCTGAGTCCTGCCTTCCCTGGCTGGTCCTCCTTGCTTAGTCACCCAGATCATTCCCAGACAGCTGCACCCTGGATATGGCTCCTCTCATGTGCTGCCTGGAAATGTCCCCTCTCTTCTCACCTGCTGAGAGGTCCTTCTGGGCACGGACTCAAGCAGATTCATCCCTGCCTGCCCAACAGTTCCCTAGCCCAGGGCCTGGCCCACTGCAGTGCTGAAGGATGATTCTGGTAAGAAACAAGATACCCCAGCTCACATCTTGCAAGGATTATGCCTCCCCCACCCTCCCTTCTCCTTGTAGTTCTCTCCCTTCACTGATGATTTTGCATGCAATTTAAAATAAAAATATTGATTAAAAATGGAAACTATATAAATAAAAATAAAAACACTTAACATCAATGTGTCATTTGAGCTTTAACATGAAGAGAAAACATGTGAAGATAACAATTTGTGGACGATTCCAAATTAGCATGAAGTTCTCAGCTGGTAAGTATCTTGACTTTGTTCCCCTCTCTTGGGGTCTGTGGGATCCTGACCAGGCAGGTGGTGCAGTAGAGTGGGAGGAACTTGGCTTTGGTCTTGATAAGCCTGGGTTGAATCTCCCACTTATGGGCTTTCTGAAGCTCAGTTTCCTTATCTGTGTAAAGGGGAGAAAGGCCCTACTTCATGGGGTGATTGTGAGGCTGATAGAAAAGGGCATAGAGGGGCCAGGCGCAGTGGCTCACGCCTGCAATCCCAGCACTTTGGGAGGCGAGGCAGGAGGAGTTCAAGACCAGCCTGTCCAACGTGGTGAAACCCTGTCTCTGCTAAAAATACAAAAATTAACTGGGCATGGTGGTGGGTGCTTGTAGTCCCAGCTACTCGGGAGGCCAAGGTGCGAGAATTGCTTGAGCACGGGAGGCAGAGGTTGTAGTGAGCCAAGATTGCACTACTGCATTCCAGCCTGGCCAACAGAGCAAGACTCCGTCTTAAAAAAAAAAAAAATCAGGTTGGTCTCGAACTCCTGACCTCAGGTGATCTGCCCGCCTCAGCCTCCCAAAGTGCTGGGATTACAGGCGAAACCCCACCTCTACTAAAAATACAAAAATTAGCCGGGCATAGTGGCAGGTGTCTATAATCCCAGCTACTCGGGAGGCTGAGGGAGGAGAATCGCTTGAACCCAGGAGGTGGAGGTTGCAGTGAGCCAAGATTGCACCATTGCACTCCAGCCTGGGTGACAGGGCAAGACTCTGTCTCAAAAAAAAAAAAAGAAAAAAGAAAGAAAGAAAGAAAATGGTGCACAGGGCCAGAAGCAGTGCCTCGTGTCTATCACCTTCAGAAGACAGCCAGAATCCAACCACTCCTTCCACAGCCACTGCCATAGTAGGGGTTCACGCCCAGTGGTCTGTTCTCTACGCAGCAGCCACAGTGATCCTGTTAATTAACATTTAAGTCATAGCACATCACTTATCTGCTCAGAGCCTGCAGTGATGCCTATCTCATTGGGAGTAAAAACCAAGGTCATCATAGCAAGCTCAAGGCCTCACATGGTCAATCATCCCTCACCCCAGGGCCCCCATCCCTGTCTCTACTGTTCTCCCCCATTGCACCTCCCTTTAGCCCCACTGCCCTCCTGCCCTCCTGGCTGTTCCTGAACATGTGAGGCACTCTCCTGCCTCAGGGCCTTTGCACACACCATGCCCTTTGCTGGAATGCTCTTCCCCCAGAAATCCTTGTGCCTCCCTCCATCACCCCCTTCAGGTCTTTACCCAAGTGTCCCCTTCTCCGTAAGGAAGACCCTGTTCTTTCTGACTTATCTTTATCTGTGGCACTTGTCACCATCCCATATATATATATTTTTTGCTGACTGATTGTCTATGTTGCTTGTCTCTCCCCGAGAGAATGTGAGCTCCTTGAGAGCAGGGATGTTTTGTCTTTGTTTTCACCATCTGGAACAGTGCCTGGCAAGTCACGGGCACTCAATAAATATTTGTTGAATGAATGAATTGCTCATCATTTTGGAGGGTGCCAAAACATAGGAGCAGCTATCTTCCAACTTGGGCAATCGGAGGTCAGCGTTCTGCAATTCTGAAAGGGCAGTATTTCAGTATTACTTCGTTAGGGAGGCAGTGGGGGCCCTTGGGAGGAAACCCCAGGGTCCTTCCGCTTGGGGCAGCCAGCTCAGGAGGAAGTACCAGGTGCTGGTTCCCGACTCAGCGGGAGAGTCGACAGTGTGTTCTCACGGGGCAGCCAGGCATCAGGGATCCTGCTCCCTGGAAGCCTCTCTGTGCGCTCCCTGCCCCATGGCTGCAAGCATATCCAAGTCTAAGGCGGGCCTTCTAGGAGGCTCGCACTCAGCCAGTCCTCTCCCTGGTAAGGGCACCAGAACCCGGAATAAACTCGGATTAAGGTAGGTATTTTAGTCGGTGCTGGA